ATGTGTTGTGGTCATGGTCTAGCATTAATGACAAAATGTGCCACAGTGAGCATGTCTATAACATTTCAAAGTTCTGACAAGGCTTTCTGGCCACTGTGCTTCTGGACGTCATGAATTAAGAGAAAGACACCTACCCTCCCACCCACAAAGTGACAAAGCAACCCAACTGACCCCCCCAAAAACCAAGAACTACAGAAGCAAAGAAAAATGCTGGAGGAATCCCGAGATTAGAGAAGCAAACGAAAATCCTGGAGGAGCCTGGGACTGGGAATTAACTGTGGAGAGGTCTAAGGAAATCTCTGTAAGTCACTGGAGATACTACAGAAACCAACTGGCAGAGAAACGAATGAGTTTCTCCAAAGATAGACAGAGCTGAGCGTTCCCTAACAGCTGGTATTAGAAATGACCAGGCAACTGACAATCAGCGGGGAAGGGGATACAATCAAACTGTAATTGAACATGTCATATAATGAACAAGTCACGTTTACAATTGAATTAAGGTCCTCAGAAGGCTAGGTCAACAGAACTATTAGGTATGAGAAGTTGGGGAAAGAAGGGGAGGTCTCAAGGATGGGGATTAGGGGTAAAGAAGGCAAAAATAATACTCTCACATAGGCAGGTGAAGGAAATCAAAGACCAGCAACTCTGACCTCAAATCTAAGAAAATCCGCTTCTGGCAGTCCACTTAGGCTTTAGCATTCACTCAACCACACACTTCTTGCTGGTCCTCAATAAGTCCACATGGTGCCATCTTCCCTGACCAGTTGGAGCAACGCTAGCTGGGTATTTGTTCTCATGGCCCTTGAGCAGTTTTCCCGGGGACTTTTCTACATAGCTTTTGAGAGTGGTTTTTTCTAGTATGAATTTTCTTATTGATCAGATTTCTCTGGAATGTCCACAGGACTTGCACTTTTTGGACAAGCACATGTGGACACGTTCCTGTTAGGGTGTTGGGTCTAAAGCAATCCTAACCCAACAAGGATTCGCCAATGGAAGTGAAGGGGAAATTCACCTTCCAGGCCACCGACATCCCTCTCCTTCCTCTCTGTATCTGCAATGACTTTCTTTCTTTCTTCATGGTGCTCAATGTCCAGTCGCCACATTGGTTTCCCGCTCTTGGCCAGATTCCACGTCATCCGGAACGGACCATCGCTGTGTGTTATGTCCATGTCTACCTTCTTCAAATCACTCCACAGGAGTCATTTCTCCCTGACAGGGCTTACATTCTTTTTAAAAAGAATTCTTCTAGAAGCTTATTCTGATCTATCCTAGACTTCTGGTCCTGAAAAGATACACCAATCTCTATGTTGCCCTTGGTTTCATCTTGACAGCATGTAAATAGGCCTGGCCAGTTACTTTATTTCAACCCTCAGGGATTCAGTTACCTTTGCTTGACAGTGTCTCCCCAGTATGATCTCTGTCCCCATGCCACTCAGCCACTCACCAACACACCAACAAGCAACAGCTGTAGTCCACCACATCGATCAGCCTTATAGGCATGAAGAGCAGAAGGCAGTCCCAATGGCAGGACCCAGAGGTCTTCCTCAGAAGGCCTCTATCCAAAAACACCACCTGACAATAACCTGCCAAATTCCCTAAACATTCCTATCAACTAATTCACTGTGGTTTAAATCTTAGGGTTTAAGGAGGTTTTGGTTAAAATACCTCCAGAAGACAGGACATTGCCAGCCGTTGATTCCACTGCTAGAATTAACGAGATTGTTCACTAATAAGACAATAGGCAGCAAGCTGGGCACGGAGGCAAGCAGACACGGAAGAAGCGAGATGTGGAAGAGGAGAATGGAGGGCAGAGGACCAGGTGCAGCATATGCTGGGGTCACACAGACCAGGTCCCTGTAGAGCACTCAAGGGGCATGACACCAGGGACAGAAGATCTCCAAAGCAATGAGGCAGCATGAGCTCCCTCCCAGCCTGATGAAGACACAATGCTCCAGTAATAACATCTTGTATTTACAAAGGTCTTAGAGTTTACAAAGCCCATCTCATAGCAATCACTTCATCTGGTCCTAACAACAATGAAAAATGGGCAGCACGTGCACCCGCAGTCTAAGGTCAATGACTTGGAAGCCCAGATGACTGAGGGACTAGAAAGCTACAGAACTAGGTCCTTCTAACACCTCATCCAGCTCTTTTTATGGTGCAGTGGTTACGAGTTCAGAGCTAAAATCTAAGTTCTGTGACTGACTAGCTTTAGAATCTTGAACCCTCCGAGCCTCAGTTTCTCTTCTGCAAAATGGGATATTATAAAGAGCTCCTGAGCAAAAGCACATAAAGAGCTTAGCATAGTGCCTACCATATAAAAAACAAATAGCAGACACATGCTATAGGTCTCATGACTAGTACATCATGACATAGAGCAGTCATTCTAACCCTGCCATCTACTAAATCCACCCAGCAGTCTCCCCAGCCTTACTGCTGCCCAGGTCTCACTCAAGACTATGAATCAAACTCCGCAAGTATATGGTCTAGACATTTGTATTTTTTTTTTTTTTTTTTTTTTCCATTCTCTCTTGGGGTATTCTGATGCAAACTGCCACAATTAAGAATAAATGACACAGGTCGGGTGCAGTGACTCATGCCTATAATCCCAGAATTTTGGGAGACTGAGGCGGGCAGACCACCTGAGGTCAGATATTCAAGACCAGCCTGGCCAACATGGTAAAATCTCATCTCTAGCAAAAATACAAAATTAGCCAGGCGTGGTGGCGTGCGCCTGTGATCCCAGCTACTCGGGAAGCTGAGGCAGGAGAATCACTTGAACTCGGGAGGCCGACGTTGCAGTCAGCTGAAATTGCGCCACTGCACTCCAGCCTGGGTGGTAGAGCAAAACTCTGTCTCAAAAAAAAAAAAAAAGGAATGATACAAAGCAATATTTCTCAAATTATAATGGGCATTCAAATCACTTGATGATCTTGTTAAAATGCAAGTTTTAATTCCGTACTTTGGGACTGGGGTTGGAAATTCTGAGTTTGCAACACGCTGCCAGGTAATGCTGACGCTGCTTATCAGCCGGTTACAGTTCAAAGGACACAGAGATGATTAGAGAAGAAAGGTGACAAAGGCAGGCAAGTTGGGTCCAAAAACAGAAAACAGAAGGACCTGGTGGGAGGACTTCAGAGGTCCTTGGCCTAAATTCCTAGGTTGGCTCCTTCAGCATCATTAATGACAAGCAAAGAGCAGAGTCCACGCCCTTTTCAAATGGGAACTGACTATTTATCACGACTGCCTCATCACTACGGAGCAGAACAGTCTGAATATTTTGCCCCCTTCTGACCATCATGTCTCTACATGACCCCTATTCCTCCATGAAACAAGCTTCCCGTCCTAACTATGCCCTTATTAATATCTTGACTAAAAAGACTCTGTCTTCAGTGTAAAGCCCCTTCTGAAAGATAGTTTGTTTTTTTTTTTTTTTTGAGACAGAGTCTCGCTCTGTCCCAGGCTGGAGTACAGTGGCACAATCTTGGCTCACTGCAACCTCCACCTCCCAGGTTCAAGCAATTCTCCTGCCTCAGCCTCCTGAGTAGCTCGGACTACAGGTGGCCGCCACCGCGCCCGGCTACTTTTTTTTTTTTTTTTTTTTTGGTATTTTTTTTGAGACGGTGTTTCACCTTGTTGCCCAGGCTAGTCTCAAACTCCTGAGCTCAGACAATCCACCCCCCTCGGCCTCCCAAAGTGCTAGGCTTACAGGCGTGAGCCACTGCGCCCGGACGCCAGTACTCTCTTTCCACCTTGGATTCCTTTGCTCACCTGTTCTCTTTGACCAACGTGGAACACCATCTTCATCCACATACTTCACCCCTGTACCCTGGGACTGAATATGCCAAGGAAATATGGGGGAATCACAGTAGAGTGGCCCGCCACAGGCTTCTGTCTTCATTTAAACCCTGCCCAGGAGACTGCCAAGAGTATCACCCTCCCCTCACCGACTCCTTAGGTTCCATTCTTCACAGAAGCAACTTAACATCCCAGCTACCTTTCCGTATTTCACAGTTTCTTCACGGAACCTTGGAAACTGCTCCTGAGCAGACTGGGATCCACGGGAAAATCAGTTTCATTTTCTTCAGCTTGTTCTACGCAGTGGTTTGCAATCCGGGTTGTATATTAGAATCACCTGAGACCTCCCTGACCCCTGACCCTCCACCCCAATCCCACTCGGGTTCACTTGTCTGAGGTGGAGTCTGATAATGCATGGCTAGGGTCCAAAACCACTGCCCTTGGGAAGCTATACTATTCCTAACTGGGAACTAACTAGAAATAAGCTCCTCTCCACGATACATGCATCGTCCCTAGCGTGGAAGACGAAGAGAGGCGGCTTTCCACCCAAGCTCATTGCCTTCTGTGATGGTTGCCATGATGAAGCTCAAGAAGTTCTGGAAACAGGGGGAGGCCAATTTTAAAGATGTAGCAATTTACGGTTCATCAGCCTCAGCCTTGGAAAGCCGGACCCGTCCACGGGGTCTTCCAGCAGAGCCGGGCTCAGAGCAGCTGTCGGCTCTTTGAAGTGTGAATCACTCACTGGTGAAGAAGTGGGAGGAGGATCCAATTCCTCCGCCTCTGTGGGCGCCAGACCAGTCTTATTAGGACTCATTTTTTCAATATGCCAATTTAAAAAAAAAAAAACAAAAAACAAAACACTCCTTTGCCCACACAGAGAAGTACTGACTTCGGGAGTTTAGAAGGCAGTTAACAAAGCAGAAAATTCAACCAAAGAATGCCAAAGACATGTTCTGACTTCACCCACAGTCTCCCTTAGTATGTTCCACCCAAGATGGGATTCAGCTGAACATACCTGGTTTCCTAAACCTAGAAAATTAACGAAAACTAAATTGAGTAGAATATTATAGCCCAACACCATAAATGACTAGAATAGATTTTGATTGATTTAATGTCTAAAGTAAGCCATTCAGGAAACAGCTGTAATATTTGCAAAGAAGTCTTCGCCCACCAAGTAATCCCTGTAAATGAAAACATCCTACCTGATTAGATCTGGTTCGGCACCCTCATTCTTAAAGGATGCCAGAAGTAGTCTCTCTCGAGTTACAAGATCATCCAAGAGGTTCTGTCTTCGGTCCCCTTCAAGCTGTGTTCTGCAGACATCTTGTTAAGGTCCAGTGGTGAATAAATGACCTCGTTTTAACTATTACATTATTAAGTTAGCTCTTCAAGTCAGTTGTGGCTTTTACAGACTGTAATCACTACTACCCAGAGGGGATGCTCACCATTCCACTCCTGTGCTTTTCCTACTCTGACCTTCACCTTCATCAGGTCATCAGGTAAAGGACCTTGGCAGGACCGTCACAGAGGGACTTACAAACACTGATATGGATCACGACACAAGTTCTTTCACTGAGAAATATACCAGGTAAATATTACTTTGCTCCCCGTGACCAAACTTATTTATTTATTTTTGAGACAGAGTCTCGCTCTGTCACCCAGGCTGGAATGCAATGATGCGATCTCGGCCCACTGCAACCTCTGCCTCCCGGGTTCAAGCAGTTCTCCTGCCTCAGCCTCCCGAACAGCTGGGCTTACAGACATGCAACACCACACCCAGCTAAGTTTTGTATTTTGTATTTTTATTTGAGACAGGGTTTTGCCGTGTTGGCCAGCCTGGTCTTGAACTCATGACCTCAGGTGATCTGCCTGCCTTGGCCTCCCAAAGTGCTGGGATTACAGGCGTGAGCCACCATGCCCAGTCCCAGTGACCAAATTTAAATGACTTTTCCTGCCAGTGGTGCAATCTGGCTCAGTGATTCCTTAGGTTTTGAGTTATACGTGTCAGTGTTGCAGGACGTTTTCCTACATATTAATACCCTAAGATGCTCTGTTTAAAAAACTAGGGGCGTTGGGGGAGAGAAGTTCTCTATATTGTTCTCTTTCTTCCATGTTAATATCTATTAACACACCTAGAATATTTATAAAGTGCTACTTTATGCAACAGATGTGCTCTATAAATTGTTACCGTCAGTTCACTATTTAAATACATTGCATGATCTGTAAAGAAAATTATAAAGAGAATAATTTTAATGTGTGATTCTAGCAAACATGCTAGACCAGGAGCCCCAAAGGCAGAGTTGTAGCCCTATTCTTACCATTATCTATGCTCTTGAACCAGTTATTTCACCTTTTTGGATCTCTCTCTCTTTATATGTAACACTAGATAATCTCTAACATCTTTTCCACAACAATTCATAAGTGGTGGTTAAAACCAAAAACCATCCTTCTGGGAAATGTAGTCTTTGCAAAGAAACCTACAATTCACCAATAGGTGGACGAGAGTGCGGCGCGTGCGCAGAGGCGCGCATGAAGCAAAAAGGGAAGTGGCGTCTGTCAACAACCGGCACCGCTTCCCTTGGACTAAGTACAAAGTTTTACATACTAGCTTTCTTGATGCAAACTACAAAAGTACAAAAATGTTTACTTTTTTTTTTTTTGGAGATGGATTCTCACTCTGTCTCCAGGTTGGAGTGGTGCAGTGGCGTGATGTCGGCTCACTGCAACCTCCGCCTCCAGGGTTGAAGCGATTCTCCCGTCTCAGCCTCCCGAGTAGCTGGGACTACAGGCTCCCACTACCATGCCCAGCTAATTTTTGCATTTTTAGTACAGACGGGGTTTCACCATGTTTGTCAGGATGGTCTCGATCTTTTGACCTCATGATCCGCTCGCCTCAGCCTCCCAAAGTGCTGGGATTACAGGCATGAGCCACTTCACCTGACCTCATACATTCTTTTTTTCTTTTTTCCGTTTTTTTTTTTTTTTTATTTGAGACAGTGTCTCCCTGTCACCCAGTCTGGAGTGCAGTGGCATGATCTTGGCTCACCACAACCTCCAGCTCTGGAGTTTAAGCGATTCTCCTGCCTCAGCCTCCCAAGTAGCTGGGATTACATGCGCACGCCACCACGCCCAGCTAATTTTTGTATTTTCAGTAGAGATGGAATTTCCCCATGTTGTCCAGGCTGGTCTCGAACTCCTGACCTCAAGTGATCCACCCACCGCAGCCTCCCAAAGTGCTGGGATTACAGGCAGGAGCCACCACACGCGGCCGCCTCAAACATTCTTGATAGTAATGCAAACAGGTTCAACCAACTGCTAAACTGCCTTCTAAATACCTAACAAAATGTAAAAGGTACAGTCTTTCAACAGACATTTCTCCTGCAGATACAGTCATACAAGGACTTAGAAGCAAGGATGTCCACTGAACTATTATTTATAATAGCCACACTGGAAATATCAGTAAGTAACTAGTGCATCTGTACAATGGAATGTTTTGTAGCCTTAAACCAAGAATAGGAAAGCTGCTTAGGGGGCTGATAATGATAATTAACATTTTTGAGCACTTACTAAGTGTTTACATGAATTATTTGACATGGAGTAATCTACAAAATATAACATTAAACCAAAAGAGGAAAAACAACAGCACCAGCAAGGAGCTAAACAGTGAACAGTATGCTCCCACTTTGTTAAAAAAAAAAAAAAAAATCGTATCTGTATATGTGTGTATATATACACAGAATATTTCTGATATATAAACATTGCCTCTAAGGAAAGACAACTAGGGATTAAGGGTATAAGGGAGACTGATGTTTCACTGAATATTGTTTCCTAATGTTTGTCTCTATCATCTGCTAATCAATAAAAACACAAGCTTCAGAACCATATGTATAATACAATCCCTTTATAGTCAAAAGAATTTCTTATTTACATATGCATATATTTCCAGCCTAGAAAAGTCTGAGACACTAGCTACCAACCAGCAACACTTAACTATGAAGAATGAGATGAGACAGAAAAGAATAAGGAAGAGAAAGAGGAGTCACTGGGAACAACTAATGAGAAATGTATCAGTAGAAAGTATAATACGCTTTGTAATAAAAACAATAAAGGTACATTTTAAAATCAGCAGATACTAGTTACAGATTTAAACAAAGAACATCAGTTTCAGAAACAGTAAAACTTGATGATGATGTTTTGTCGATGAGTAACCAAAGGACGGAAACCCACACGGTTGATGCTAGAAGAGGCCTTAATCCCAATTCTCTTGTTTTGCTGACCAGAAAATTAAGGACCAGCATGGCTAAGTCACTTGCCTGGGTTAACAGCAATGCTAGGTGAGAGCCCAGGTCTTTCTACCCTAGCTCACGGCTTTTCCACCAAACATTCTGGGGACTTCTCCACCTTGAGGTGCTGACTTAACTTTGCCACTTCTTAGAATCCTGATAAAGACAATACTGTGCGTATGAATTCAGCCTATTCCCAGGGACTCTGTAAATCTGGAAAACAATCCAATTGGGAACACTCTGACTCTTTGTTTCGTATTTTATTTTAATCTATGGAGAGAACAGAGCATAAGGAGATGCGGAGGAGGGAGATGGAATGAGAATAAATTGATGCATGGACCACCCTTGCTATATCAGGGTTGTTGTTAGTAAGAGGTCAAAGGATCATCCAGGAAACAATCTATACAGCATGTATGTGGACAGGTGTGTAGCAGTTGGGTAAAGTAGGGTAGTGGGAAAGAGTGTGCCTGAGTGATGCTAAGGACAAGCAGAAAGTAGGACACATAGGCTGAGCGCCGTGGCTCACGCCTGTAATCCCAGCACTTTGGAAGGCTGAGA